GAGGCCTCCAAACTCGCGCAATCCAGTCAAGTTGGCGAAGGCCCAACTACGACGACAACGGCTCTCGACCGATACTTTCCTTTCAAATTTCTCCGAGACCACCTGGCCACAGAGATGTTCAAACTCATGAATGGCGCTCTCGCCCGAGACGTCTTCGAACTTCAGTCAAGCTTTCGAAGGTCCAATCAAGACGACAACGTTTCCTGTTCGTTACTTCCTCGCAAATTTCTACGGGACGTCCTGACCAGAGGGGGCCCTAAACTCGCTCAATTGGTTCAAATTGGCGAAGGCCCAACTACGACGACACCGGCTTCCGCTCGCTACCTCATCACAATTCACTCCGAGACCACCTGGCCACAGAAGCCTCCAAGCTCAGGAATGGCGCTCTTGCTCGGGGAATCTTCGACATTCAGTCACGTTGTCGAAAGCCCAAATAGGACGACAACGGCTCACGCTCGTTACTTCCTCGTAAATTTTTCCGAGACGCCCTGGCCACAGAGGCCCCAAGTCTCGCGCAGCTTATCTCGGGGAGAAGACCCAACTGCGACGGCAACGCCTCCCGATCGATATTTCCACTCAAATTAATTCGAGACGCCCTGGTCACAGAGGTCTCCAGTCTCATGAATGGCGCTCTCGTCCGAGACGTCTTCGAACGTGAAGGCCTTGAAGCCTAAGTAAGACGACGACAGCGCCCGTTCGTTATCCCCGCACGATTTTCTCTCCAAGACGCCTTGGCCAGAGCAGCGGCCCAAGCTCGCGCGATTCGTTCAAGTTGGCGAAGGCACGGCCACGACGACGACGGCTTCCATTCGTTACTTACTCGCATTGTACTCCGAGACGCCCCTGTCGGATGCTTTCCTGCACGCGGGAAAAGCGATCCATGCGGAGTGTGTGTTTCACAGGAATTGGTATTCAGAGAAGCCCCCTCCCCAGCATGGGGCTGGTTCGTGGACTTAGAGGGCAAGTACAAGAGATGGGGGAGCAACACATCAAGATCATAGCAGCTTGTTTTATCACATCGCAAGATGCTCGTCGTCATCGTCGTCGTCGTCGTGTTGGTGGTGGTGGTGGTGGTGGCCGTCGTCCTAGCCGTCGTCGTTGTCGTCGTCGGCGGCGGCGGCGGAGGGAGAGGAGGAGGAGCAGGAGGAGGAGGAAGAGGAGGAGGAGGCGGAGGATGAGGAAGAGGAGGAAGAGGAGGAGAAGGCGCAGGAGGAGGAGGAGGAGGAGGAGGAGGAGGAGGAGGAGGAGGAGGAGGAGGAGGAGGATGAGGGAGCAGGAGGCTGACGAGCAGGGAGGAGGGAGGAGGGAGCAGGAGGCAGGACGACGAGGACGAGGGGGAGGAGGAGGAGGAGGAGGAGGAGGAGGAAGGAGGAGGAGGAGGAGGAGGAGGAGGAGGAGGAAGAGGAGGAGGATGAAGATGAGGAGGAGGAGGAGGAGGAGGAGGAGGAGGAGGAGGAGGAGGAGGAGGAGGAGGAGGAGAAGGAGGAGTACCAGTGTAAACCCAAGACTCATCAACGATATTGCAATACACCCTCCCTCCAAGTTTCCTCTTCATAGGCTCCTACAAGGATCCATTTTCACAGGAAAGTGCCCCATTGAAAGACGACCGTTTGAGAATCCTGAACTGTGCCAGAGCACCGCTCCTGGGACAACAACGCCGCGAATCACCGTTCCTGTCGCGTCCTGATAGTCCTGAATCGTTCCAGAACAGCATTCCTGGGAAAGAGCGCGTTCTGTGGTCGCTTCGGGTGGGGGGGGTTCGAATCCCCCCCCCCACTCCCGTGACGGAGTGGGGGGGTGGTTTCGACCCCCCCCCTCCCCTCCTCTCTCCCTCTCCTCGGGCCGGCGCCGGCGTCGGCTGCGGCTGGCGGCGCCGGCGCGGGTGCTGGTGGTGGTGGTAGTGGCGGTGGTGGTGGTGGTGGTGGTGGCGGTGGTGAGGTGGTTTGTTGTGGTTGTGGTGGTGGTGGTGGTGGGTTTTGCTGCTGCTAGTAGTGGTGGTGGTTGTGGCGGTGGTGGTGGTGGTGGTGGTGGTGTGGTAGAATGTGGTGGAGGTGGTGGTAGTGGTGATGGATTGTTATATTGGTGGTGGTGGTGGTGAGCTGTTGTGGTGGTGGTGGTGGTGGCTGTGGTGGTGTTGGTTGTGTGGTGGTTTGGTGGTGGTGGTGCTGGGTTGAGGTGATGATGGTGGTGGTCGTGGTGGTGGCGGTGGTGGTGGTGGTGGCGTGGTGGTTTGTGGTGGTGGTGGTGGTCGGCTGTGGTGTTGGTGGTGGTGCTGCTGCTGGTAGTGGTGCTGGTGGTGGGGGTGGGGGTGGTGGGTGGTGGGTGGTGGGTGGTGGTGGTGGTGGTGGTTGTGGTGGTGGTGTGGTGTGGTGGTTTGTTGTTTTGGTGTTGGTGGTGGGTTGTGGTGGTGGTGGTGGTGGCGGTGGTGGTGATGGTGGTGGTTATGGTGTGGTGGTTTGTGGTGGTGGTGGTGGTGATGGTTGTGGTGGTTGTGGTGGGT